ATTTCACTACTTTGGACCTAGCCTCTGGGTTTCACCAAATTGAAATTGATCCCAAGGACGTTGCTAAAACTGCATTTTCAGTTGAAAATGGTCATTTTGAATTTCTCCGTTTACCCTTCGGACTAAAAATTTCTCCATCCACTTTCCAACGTGTCATGGACAACATTCTCTTAGGTCTTCAAAACGAACGATTTCTCGTTTACATGGCCGATATTATCGTTTATTCAAACCTAATCCCGACAAAATAGACGCTGTTCAAAAAATTTCAGAACCAAAATCAGCAAAAGACATTAAATCCTTCCTTGGTTTAGCCGGTTACTACCGACGTTTTATCCCCAATTTCGCTAAGATCTCAAAACCTCTAACTAGACTTCTCCAAAAAGACACACTCTTCGTATTCAATTTAGAATGCAAGAATTCATTTAATGAACTTGAAAACGCTCTAATACGTGACCCAATACTCATTTATCCAAATTTCGAGGAAACTTTTGTCCTAACCACCAATGCCAGTGCATTTGCCATAGGTGCAGTTCTTTCACAAGGACCAATTGGAAAAGATTTTTCCCATAGCATATGCCTCTAGAACTCTATGTAGTGCAGAGACGAAATATTCAACTATAGAACGAGAACTTCTTGCCATGGTATGGGTAGTCAAGCACTTCCGCCCTTATCTATTCGGAAGAAAATTTATTCTCGTTACTGATCGTCGTCCTTTAACTTGGTTATTTTCGATAAATGATCCTGGTAGTCGTTTAGCTCGATGGCGTCTCAAACTTGAAGAATACGACTATACCATTGTGTATAAGCCCGGTAAAATAAATAAGAACGCAGACGCTCTCTCCCGTGTTAAAATTAACTTTATTCAAGATTGTGTCGATCTCCAAAAGAAAATTTTTATCCTTGCATCTAATAATGATGACATTCACAACAGACCACTCACAAGTAAAGAAGAAATCGTTCACGATGACAATTCTAATAATTCAGATATCGAAGACGACACAGCGGAAGTTACAGAAGAATACAACTTCGCATACCTTCACAAAACCATATCCCTTATACATTATTCCAAAATAGAAACCTCTAGTTCGCAACTTATCGACAAAAACCACAAAGATATTGTCACTTTCTTTTGGCAATCAAAAATTGATGATTTGCATAATAAAATGATGGACGATATTTTTGAAGAAGATATTAATTTTACATTTAACAAAATTAACGTTTTTTCTAGCAAAACCGTCAAAGGCAGGAAATATTATATAATCCCTTTTCCATCCATATGACAATGAAACTGTAGTTCAACATTTATTATATATTTTATTCACAGCAAAAAATAACTTTGATCTTTCAAAACTATATTGTATTGAAAATAATTTACAACTTCCAATATTGGAAGTATTCTCCTTTATATTTTCCGAAAAGGATATAAAACTAAGAAGCTGCCAAGATATAGTTAGAACTCCCGATCAAGACGAAATCCCCATCATTTTAGACCAATGCCATTCAGGAAAAAATAATTTACATCGCGGAATCAATGAAAGATGTCGAAAACTATATTGGAAAGTGCGAAATATGTTAAAAAGTCAAGATCTATCGTAAAAACCTCAGCACACTATTAGTTATCACAGAAACTCCTAAAACTCCTTTTGAGCACATTAACATCGATATTTTCGAATTTCCAGTTCGTAATTACGCCCTTACCATAAGAGGTGAACTCACAAAATTCACCCAGGCATATCCCATAAAATACAAAAAAGCTTCTACAATCGTAACTACCCTTCTTCTCTACTTCCAACATTTTGGAACTCCTCTTAGAATACATTGTGAGCATGGCCGAGGATTTGATAACTCCCTTGTCAAAGATCTTTGTCTTTTGTACGATATAAAGTTGACTTTCTCCAGCGTTAGCCACCCACAATCTAATGGATCACTAGAAAGATTCCATGCCACGCTCACAGAAATGATCCGAGCTCATAAATCCGAAAATCCAAAAGAACACCCCTTTCATGCTCTTCCATACGCAATAATCTGCTACAACAACACAAAGAACAAAACCCATGGTTTTTCTCCTTATGAACTAATATTTGGACACACTTCTAGTAGGCCTCCAGAAATTATGTATAATGAAGAACAACTCATCACCAAATACATCCGAGATCTAAACAATCGCATGCAGCATTATTATAGAGTCGCACGTACCCGCACTGATCAACAAAAACAAAAATCCAAAATAAGATTTGATCAAGCAATCTCCAGAAATATGACTAAATATAATGTGGGAGATAAAGTTTATGTTAAGGAAACTCAAATTAGCGATAAAGCTCAGAATAAATTTAACGGTCCGTATGAAATTCTTGAAGTATTTCAAACTTCAGCCAGTGTCAAAAATTTAGTTACCGAACAAGTTTTAAAATTCAATTTTGACAAGTTTAAACCTTATTACGATTAGATTAAATTTCTTTCAAGATCTTGGGACTGATCTCTACGGTCGCATCCCATTACTCCAGTAAATAATACAGTAGGCATCTTCTACCATGAAGAAAGTAGTCTAAGAGTATCCAACAACAAATGGACGCGCTGGTATATAAAAAACTAAAACCTCTGCGAGAAACCATACGACATAATAACAAAATACTTTCCTCTCTCACAAAAATGTTAGACGATTCTTTTCCTCGTACGACAGCCTTCAAAACAAGTATCCAAACTCATTTTAGTCTTCTAACTAGGATTGCTGACTCAGTCGAAAAGAAACCACGTCTAATAAAAATTCACATAATACAAGCATGGGTGAAAATACGCAATTATACCATCAAATGTTGACTGATTACGGCGAAGACACAGTCAAAGGTATAAAACTTTACTCAAGAGCTATTATTAAACTATCTAGCCAGAAGAACGATCGAATATTTCTTCTTCGATGTCGAGACGAAGAACTAAAATCAAAATTTTTAAACTTGAAATCAAATTTTCTTGTCAAAATCTTGCTTCAAGATTTCACAACCAAATTGTAAACAGATTTGTACATTCCACTTTACAATTATTAATTACGGATACAGTGAAAAATATCAATAAATTAAAAGAAAAAATCTCAAATATTTTAAATATATTAAGAAATTTTGTACCAACAAAAATTATTGACAACTTTGTAAGGCAGCAAAAGCAGAATTCCGAGAATGTTGTTCTTAAAATTAGACAAAACAATAAAAATAAATTGAATTCCTTACTTTCAATAAAACACAAAAATAAAATTCCAGATCATGCTACAGAAGTATTGAATCTTGGCCCAAATTTTGCGCTAACCCTGGCAAATCGTAACGATATACCAGTCAAACAGGTAGTATGTAATTTTGAAAATTTCCTTTCCGATTAGCATCTAATGAAAAAGAAAACGTACGAGCAAGATGTTGTAATGCAATTACCAAATTTTAAGACAACATAAACAAAAATAAAGAAACAAAAAAACAAAATCGACTTCTAAAAAATGTGAAAAAACTAAAACTTTTTTAAAGAAAATCCAAAACATTATAGTACTAGTACCAGATAAATAAAAATAAACTGTCTTAATGAATGCAGAAAAATACGATAAGAAAATTAAAGTATTACTCAATGACCAAGCAATTTATAAAAAATCAATTCCAATCCCAAACAAATCGTCAAAAAAAAAAACAAACGAAATTATATCAAATTGGGAAAATCAACTTTTTATTCCAACACATACTGCAAAAGAATTGAAAATTAATAATGCTTTGCCACCACGAATTTACGGTTTACCTAAATTGCACAAACCCAACATTAAGACCTATCGTATCCTGCATACAATCACCAACAGAAAAATTATCTAAATATTTAAAAAATATTTCAAAAAACGTAGCAAATCAAAATAAATTTTACGTCAAAGACTCGATAGACTTTAAACAAAAAATAAAAAATTTAAAAATACCAAATAACTACGTCTAGTTTCGTTTGATGTATCATTATATACCAACATACCCTTCGATCTTATCACACAAGTAATTAAAACAAAATGGGACAAAATTAAACTACACACAGATATTCCTCTCAATGAATTTTTAGTGGCTTTAGATTTTACACTAAAATCCACATTTTTTCAATACAAAAATATGTTCTATAAACAAGTCGAAGGTTGTGCATGGGTATGTCAATTTCAAGCATAGTAGCACAACTTGTTATGAAGTATCTAGAAGAAAATGTTATTAAAAACATTCAATTCAATTTACCTTTTTTTATCGATATGTCGACGACATCATAACTGCAGTTCTAAAAAGAAAAATAGACCTATTGTTAAACTCCTTCACTAATTTCCACAAAAAATTACAATTTATGACTGAAATTGAGAACCAAAATACTTAACTGTATAGACTTATCCCTACATCACATACAAAATGAAATAAGAACAAGTTGGTATACTAAGAATACAAAATAATCACGTTATCTAAATTTTAAATCTAATCATCCCCTAGCTCAAAAAAAAAATCCGTCATAATAGGTCTCCCAGGCAAAGCAATAATGTTATCCGATCCAGAATATAGACCAGGCGCAATTGAAAAATCAAAACGCGCACTTCTAGAAAATAATTATCCCATAAACTTAATTAATAATATCGCTACCATATATACTTGGATTATCAGAAAAACTCCAAACCATTTTTAAGGAACACAAAATTCAAATAGGACACAAAAGTTATAATTTACAAAAAACATATCTCTCACTAAACTCAAAGCAAAAATTCCAGTTGAAAAAAGAAGTAATATAGTATATGAAATTCCATGCTCTAATTGCGACAGTATGCATATAGGACAATCAAGCCAATATTTAAGAAATAGAATCAACGGACATAAGTATAAAAATAAAAAAATAAAACAACTCTTCATACCCATTGCGAAAACACCAAACACACATTTAATTTTCAAAGAGTTAAAGTCCTACTAACAGAATTTAACACCAAAAAAAGAGAACTTTATGAAAGTATGGAAATTCAAAAAAACGAAAAATCAATTAATTACAAGACTGATTCTAAAGACCTTGAAAAAATATATCATTCAATTTTAAACTAACAAAATTAAATTATCCAATATATTTACTAATAAAAACATCCGAACCTGCTTTGCATGCCATTCCAATCCGTGTAAAATATTCGCTGATAAATTATGTTTATTTTTAATATGCTAACACAACAACAAATGTTATCAACTGTTATATATGTCACCTATACAAAATAAGAATATTTTGAAAAAGATCGAAATTACGATCGAAACATAAACAAATATTTAGAAGAATCGCATTTATTGTTTTCGAGAGACCGAATACCCAAGAGAAATTGACGAAAATATACACGAGACGGTAGAACAAACCGTTTGTAAACTTATTATTTATTGCATGTTAAGATAATTTACGACAAAATGTTTGATATAAAAATTTAAAGAAACTATTCAAAGTTCACAAATGTTTCACAAAAGTTTTTTATTTCCATAAACACTACCCTACAAATAAATTTGTTTTCATATAGTTTTAACAATCACCATGTATAGCATAGAAAAGGAGGTTTAAATTTAATGTATTGAACAATTTTAATAAGGCTTAAAAATATTATAATCGAAATTTTGCAATTCAAACTTATATAGAACACAATAAACCTCTGTTCATAAGATATTATCCGACAACATAAGTTCTTATATATCATTTTGCAGAAACATTTCATTCATTTCAGAACATCTGTGAACATTATAATAATAAATAACAAGTGTTAAAAATAAAATGTATTTTTTTACCTAACTTTTCCGGATCTGAAATTTCTGCTGTGCGCGCGGTGACTTCCGCATAGTATTCTTTTAAACGCCTGGCGAAATTCGGGGTTAAATATGGTGTAAATAACAGGGTTTAGCGTCGAATTGAAATAACCCAACCAAAGAGCAAAACTCATAATAAATTCGCTTATCGTACAAGCGTTTCCACATAAGGGCATTACAAGGGCCAGAATAAAAAAAGGTAACCAACACATTACGAATGCTCCCGTTATTATGGCCAACGTTTTGGCTGCCTTCCTCTCCCTTTTGGCCTCCAAACTTTCTTTTTTTTCGCTTCTGGTGCATTGCAAAGACGTGACCTTGGTTTCTTGTTTATCTTTATGCAGATTTTCAACCTGAAATTCAAATAAGCACTATATTAATTTTTAGTTAAAAGTGAAAAGTGAATATATATATATATATATATATATATATATATATATATATATATATATATGTATATATATATATATATATATATATATATATATATATATATATATATATATATATATATATATATATATATATATATATATATATATATATGTATATATATATATATATATATCTATATATCTATATCTATATATATATATATATATATATATATATATATATATATATATATATATATATATATATATATATATATATATATATATATATTAACTAAAAAACTGCGTTTCTCAAACCTAGTACTTTGGGAAATTACTAAGAAATCTACCTTCAAAAGTCACTTACTACATAAGTGCCTCGCAAACAGCCATATTTTATTAGATTATTCGACAATGTTTTAATTTATATAGGGTCCTGTTAGAACTGGAACATTTTAAACACTTATTATATTGTTTTAATTTGTGTGCTTTATTTACTAAATGTAGTGTTCGCTTACGAAATAAACATTTGCTACTATGCACTTTAGATAGCACGAAATACAGGGTTTAAAATAAAGTGTAGTTTCTTGTATAAACATTGGGTCAAAAGCCAACCGTTCGAGAGATATCGTGCTACAAATATGGTGGTAAAATAATGTTTCAATTTATTTTTTAAAACGAAAATAGATAGAACATTAAAATATTACCAAAATATTACTATTATAGAAATACACTTTCTGCATATCTTCTGTTTTTTTTAGAAGGGAATTAAATTAGACTACGTCTATCATTTCTCTTAACCAAATTTAAGAAGAAACGTATGCAATTACATTAGAAAATATGCATTTTTAGTTTTATTTTTTATTCAAACTTTTTGTCTCCTGCGATTTTTTTATAAAACTTTTCAAAAAAAGTTATTTTTGAAAAGCAATTTAGTTAGATGTCCGCAAACATATGCATTTAGCATATTTACCAGTTACGTTCTTAACAAATACACTTTAATAATAATTTATTGATAAACATTTCTGAAACTAATTGATCTATTCATGCATGAACAATGAAAAAAAAATTGCAATACAACTCACATAAAATACAACAAATTAGCAAGAGGCCCTAATATATAAGAAAAATATATATTATGTAACAAGTGCGGTACCAAACTATTTTTTTTCTACGACCCTTACTTTTTGGGTAAATTTTTACAAAATATCACGAATACATTTAGTGACATGACTGTCCGAATTGACAAACGTCAAAATTCAAGTTGTGGGAAATATCCAAAATCCGATTGCTGCGGTAATATCCCGGAAATGTCCGAAGAGGCTCGGATCCGTGGGAAACGAAACTGACGTGGTAAAGTGACAGTGGATCCAGGGAATTTATGCTTGGGCTCCTACACATGAAATGCACATTTTCCATTTCAACATTAGTGTAATTATTAAGAAATTAAGACTCAAATTATTGAACAATTAAATAATTAGATATTTTTTTGTTAAATCAATCGTATTTAGTATTAATTAACTAGAACTAAACAAAACTAACTGAGCAATGTCAAATAAAGTAATAAAAAGAAAGATCTAAAGTAAAACCGGATTTTTTAATCTATTTTTTTTCTAATCCCGTCTGTAAAATGCCTAATTATACACCAGTCAAGCGTGCGGAAAGCGTCACGTTACCACGTCAATTTAATTTCCCACGGATCCAAGCCGCTTTGGATATTTCCGGGATATTACCGGACGGGTTCGGGATCAATCTGATGTATTCGGAGATATTTCCCACGCCTTGATTTGTGACATTTGTCAATTCTGACGGTCATGGTGCATTTATTCGTGTTATTTTGCAAAAATTAAGAGTCGTAGAAAAAGTATAGAATGCAAAACGTTTGGTAAGCTTCTTAAGTCACTCGTTTGTTAAACACTCGCTCCACTTGTGCCAAATAATTTCGTGACTCAAATGCTATTTACCATACCTGTTGCATAATAGACTATGTAAGAGAACGGGGTCTTCTTGGGGTGAAGTGGGTAGCACGAAAATACGGAACAGACATCTTATTATTTTACTAAGTTTGCGTGTCTTTAACAATTGCTTGAGATAAAACGAAAAAACTTCGCGTCCATCGCGTAACGCCGTCGAACAACAACTCCTGTGTCGGAATCCGAACTCGTCGTGACGTGCCGGGGTCCGAGCAGGATCAAAATGTGTTTTGCGTCGGGTCGTCTCAAAGCGTTGCGGTTAATTTAATGGCATCGGTGCAGTGGTGGTTCGTTACACTCTCCCCCCTGGTTTCGAACTCGGCTCGAGGAGGAATCAGATATCTTCTTTGGTGGTCGTCCTCGTCTCTTCAAACTAACGACTGGTTTCTCGTCCTCAGCGGAATTTACAGGAGTTAACGAGGAGACATGATACACTCCAAGGGTCTTCTTCAAGTCGTCTGGACTGACAACTTCATAACTAGTGGGTGATACAACTCTGATTATTTCGTAGGGGCTATCTCGTTTCGGGTAAAATTTGGTTGTCACTCCTTTGGCTGCATTGCTCAATGCATGCGTCTTAACACAAACTCTGTCCTTTAATTGAAAAATTGGCGTGTTTGATTTTCTCGAATCAGCATACTGCTTCTGTTGATCCTGGTGCTTTTCGTGGATTTCGTTAGCTTCGTTCCATGTCCTTGCAATTTTGGCAATTTGGGGTGATCTGTGGTACGAAATTGTCCGTATTTGCTATTACGCGGAAATCTTTGTTGATGTCATCGAGTGTCCTTAATTATCTATCAAAGGTGAGGTAAGCAGCAGATTGCTTAGTTGTTTCATTCCATGCGCTGTTCATAGCGACTCTGATCGTCGCCAGTTTCTCGGGCTATGAACCATGGTCTTCTTTAACAAGCATTGCTTGTCTTGGTTTGAGATCTCTGTTTTTCCTTTCAACCATATTTGCTGATGCGTGGTACAATGGTATAAACGTTTCCTTGATGTCTAGTGTATAGCATACTTGTTGCATGACGGCTGACACAAACTGTACAACGTTATCGCTAATCATTTTTCTCGGCAAACCATACCGGAAAAATACTTCGTCGATGAGAGTCCGTGCGCATTCTTCGGCGGTGGCTCTCTTTAAGGCAAATAACTCAACCCACTTTGACTCGAAACTCTTGATTATTTTTTCGAGTTCCGGGTCTTTTAGTTGCTCTTTTCTTATCTCTTCGGCGCTAAGGTGCGGCAGTTCGATCGTTATCATGCAGATTTCGCAAGTCCTTTGTTCATCATGTGCGCAAGACGGTCGCGATAGGGTATCTGCTACCACGTTCCGTTTGCCTGTTAAATGTTCAATCTTTACGTCATAACCTTGAATTTGCAAAGCCCACCGCGCCAGAGGTCCTGTGGGTGACTTTAGATTGAGTAACCATCTCAAAGGTTGATGATCGGTTTGCACTACGATAGATGACCCTTCTATGTAGCCTCTAAATTTGTTCAGGGCCCATACTACTGCTAAAGCTTCCCTTTCTGAAGTGGAGGAGTTCCTTTCGGCAGATGAGAGCAGTCTGCTTGCGTATTCGATTCGGTGTTCATCGGCAACTTCTCCTTGTAATAGAACAGCTCCAAGAGCGTAATTGCTGGCATCAGTTCTGACCAACACTTTGTTTGGTTGCCGTATCAACAATTCCCTGCCCAATGTGTCCTAAGATTTTGACTAGAAGTACCGGACGAGGTCGTGGACTAATCAGTGTGTCTACTGACGAAAAATCAACGGAGGCAGTCTCCACTGGCTTACATTTTGATCGAACAAATCCTGGCTTTCCACAACCGTAACACGTTATGGGGGTAGTAGTTGCAGGTGCTGTTGACGTAGATGATTGCGAACTCTTTTGAGATGCGGTTGCTGTTTGCGTGTTTTGCTTTGACGGAGCATTTTCTTTCACATGTTTTGACTGTAATTTGCGACACTCCTCTTTTGAATGACCGATATTTTTACAATATTGGCAACAAACGCGCTTAAAATTGTCACTAAGTTCACGATCAAAAGTTTCTTCAACTAACCGCGCTTGTTTAAGTAGGTCAGTCAATGTTGCGATTTTATCGCAAGGAATGTTTTCCCGAAATTTTCTGTTTAACAATCCGTACACCATGTCGAGTTGAACATCTTCACTTAAAGTATTCGGTGGAGCTAAAATCGAACGAGATTTGCACACGAAAACGTCGGTCGGCGTAGTTGAATCTTGTTCTTTTGCAAATAATTTGCGGTAAACACGATGTAGTAGTTTTTGAGGACCAAAAGTTGTTCTTAGTAACCCTAAAGCTTCATCCCAATCAGAAACTGTGCTTTTTACACCTTGGTACCACTTCGCGGCAAAACCATCAAACAACATCGGAAGTCCTTTCAAAGCGTTTCCGTCAGAAATTTGTACGCAGTCTTTATAGATCGAAATCGCGTCTTTGAAAGCATTTACGTCAGTCTTTTGAACCGTCGAACCGAGATGAACATTGCGAGAAGTTTCCTGACAATGTCGGAGCACTAGATACTTTTGTCAATTTACAGTTAATCTGTTCAAAAGTTCTTGAAACTGAGCGTCACTTAACGTTACGTCTGTCATTTTGACTGATTTTAACTGAGAATGCTGATTTTCCGCACGGTCGCGAGATCGGAGGAAATAACGATTCGATGATTGATCTTCCGTGGCTAACAGCGTGGAATATAAAGTAGAAGCAAATCTACTTACAGCTTTTCCTCTTGTTTGCAAGTGTATATATATATATATATATATATATATATATATATATATATATATATATATATATATATATATATATATATATATATATATATATATATATATATATTTGTGTGTGTTTTCCAGACCTTTCTGAACTCACGTAATTATTCCTACGTATTTCTAGGCCTTAATCAGCAAACAGGGAGCAAGAAACACTATTTTGTTCACAAAACGTTAAAAAGACACGATGTCCAGTTGAACAGATTACGAAAAATCCGTGAAAACCCGT